ATAAGGGTTTCAGCAAAGGCCTCCCGACCCTGCTCTCCATGCATTAAGATAATGATGGGGTGTGTGCCCCAGTGCATTTCAGATCTTGGCTACAAAGGCCCTCCTTCCTTCTGTTTTCTTCCTCCAGCTCAGCTTGCCCACAGGTTCCCAGAGACTCTTGGCAGCTTTCTCTCAGGCAGAATGAAGTTGTGAGCTGTGTGGGAGGCAGTTAGACAGCGAAGAGTGTTGCAGCCTTCTTAATGAGGGACAATAATTCCTCTTGGAGCCATTAAGCCACAGCTACAGATAGGGGGAACCCCAATTAGAAAGGAGTGGGAGAAGTAAAGAGGGGGGTCTGAGAGATGCCTGCAGGACAGATCTGTGTCTTGGGGGCTCTATGGGCCCCATGGGTAGAGATATAGCTGATTGGGTTTAGAATCTGCTTTCCTTCTTAAGGTCAGTCGTTCCAGTGACTATAGAGCCAGCCCACGGTGGTGACCCTTCAAAATACACACATTGAAAGGAGGAGGCAAAATTACCAGAGAGAAGGGTCTTTCTTTAAGTTTGTGGCTCAGAGATTATAAGAGTAAGAAAGGAAATGATATTTATTTAATGGACATCCTCTGTAAGTTTTGCTACATTAAGTATATGTGCATATGGATATTTGTATTGCAGCTGATAGCTCTCTTGTTCTGGCCTTCAACTGAATCACATTATGTTTACAGCAAGATAATAATCCTGGATTTTCCATGGCTCACTCTGTCAGAGTGTAAGATTAGGTCTTGAATTCATTAACAGCCATCTCCTTTTAAATGTCAGATAACTTTTTAAATGCCAAGTACTTACGCAACACCCTCTGTGCAATTCAAATCGGCTTTACCAAATTAACTTATTAATCTTTATTGTTTCATTTACTGAAGAGAAAGGCTTCCAGGTGTTTTTAGCATAACATGAAAATATTAAGGTAGTTACAATACAATACAGGTGGGTTTTGATTTTCTGCTCAACATTGACCCTTCTACCAGTTTTGTAATCATTCCCAGTAAAGCATCCACATAAAAGAAGCATAAAAGCTTCAGGCGTCTCTCCTTTCTTCTAATTCTCCCATTTTCCTTCCCTTTTTCTTCCCCCTTCCACATCTTCAGATACCCTGACTCCTGTTTACTATTTATTCTGCTGTCTTTGCTCTCAAAATAGCCCAAGAGCTGCAAGTGTCAGTTATGATGGTTCTCCCACCCAGAAAACAGAAGGGCATCTTGCAGGATCAGGGAGGGAGCTCAAAAGGCTGCTTAGAACAGGCCTAGAAATCAGGAATTCCACTGTTCTTTCAGAGAACTCCTGCCTGGTTTTACCTCTGAATAATCAGATACAGGCTACACTGACTGCTAAAGATAGATCCTTCCAGAGTTGACTCCTTGTCACCCAGTTTTCTGCTCAAGTCACCCTGGAAAGGTCTTCTCTTATCACCCAAAGGCAAGTCCCACCCCTCCCCATCAACTTCCCTCTTATCCCATTTCATTATCTTCATAGATTTATCTAAAATCATCCAGCCCAGGGCACCTGGGTGGCTCAATTGGTTGAGTGTCCAACTTCAGGTCAGGTTATGATTTTGTGGTTCATGAGTTCAAGCCCCATATCAGACTCACTGCTGTCAGTGCAGATCCCGCTTTGGATCCTTTTTCCCCCCCCCCCTCCCTCTCCCTCTCATCTACCTCTCTCTTTCTCTTAAAAATAAAAAAATTAAAAATAATTAAAAACAATAAATTAATTAAAATCAATCCAGCTTTTTTATGTTTGTTTGCCTGACACATACAATATCACCCAATATCAGTTTCGTGAATAAATGAAAAACCATTCCAACACATGGCTTCGTTGCCTAGTTTTAACTTTCTGACTTCTCTTCTCGCCACCTCCCACAATCCTGTTTATATATTCAATCTTTTCTTTCCTCACATCTCCCAAACCCCCTTTCACTATCATTTATTTGTTAGAACAGTTGAATGTAATAAGCAAAAACAGTTCTTCACATTACAGTGACTAGAGAGCCTTCACTGAAGACATTCCATCAAGCTAGAATTCATGGTCCCTAAAGTTAAAGAGATGAGCCATACAGTTGGGAAAATTGTTTTATCAAAAAATTTATAGGTCAGCTAATTTAGAGGGACTTTTCTCAAAGCCTCTCAAATCCCCACTCTTCAATCCGAGCCCTACATAAGGAATTAAAGTGTCTGACTGTTGATTTCGGCTCAGATCATAATCTCCTGATCTCACGGTTTGTGAGACAGCCCTGCGTCAAGCTCTGTACTGACAGCATGGAGCCTGCTTGGGATTCTCTCTTTCCCTCTCTCTCTGCCCCTCCCCAGCTTGCATGCATGCACGTGCTCACGCTCTTTCTCTCAAGATAGATAGATGATTGATAGATGATTGATAGATAGATAGATAGATAGATAGATAGATAGATATTTAGAAAAAAGACTTACAGGTCAGATGATTTGCAGGGACTTTTTTTTTATTTCGTTTATGTTTATTTTCGAGAGACAGATAGAGCCTGAACGGGGGAGGGGCAGAGAGGGAGACAGAATCTGAAGCAAGCTCCCAGCTCTGAACTGTCAGCACAGAGCCCAACAGGGGGCTCAAACTCATGAATCCTGAATTCATGACCTAAGCTGAAGTCAGATGCTCAACTGATTAAGCCACCCACATGCCTCTTGGAGGGACTTCTCAAAGACTCTCAACTCCCCATTCTTCAACCTGAGCCCCCCATAAGGAGCTAAAGTAATTCTAACCATTGGAACTGGCTGTGACTATGCTTTTGTCTTCTGGGCTAACACAAAACCTTCTCTGGAAGATAATGGAGAACTTTCCCTCAAATCAATATTGTCTGATTTTTATTATTCCACCCAGTGATTCATGCATGATTTTGGAAGCTAGAAAGCTTCAAATTTTTTGTCTGATTCTAGCTCGGACCAAATGTTTTCATTTGATCTAGAAACAGGGAGGGGCTGTCTCACTCCAAGAAGCTAATCAGATATATGACTGAGATGACAAAAAATTGGATATGTAATTGTCCAAGAAAGTCTTTATCTCTAGCTACATTTCAAAACAAAGGAAATGGGTGGGGGCGTGCATCAAAATGATGGTTGCCTATGGGCCCAACAGTTAATTCATCATTAATGCTTTAAAGTAATATAAATGATATAGGAGGGGGAGTTTATAATGGCCCAGAGAGACAGACATCTGAAATTTAGTCTCCTAGAAAATATGGAAATGATCAAATCCACACCCAGGGTGATCTCATGGCATACTAGTGACCCCAGCAAATCAGCCCTAAAAAATAACAAATAACTTTCTTCTTTGGAAACGAGAAGCCAATGCTATGCAGAGGAGAGGCCTCTGGAGGTCAGCACATACTTCCTGTAATGTCGTCATCACTGGCTCTCCCCATTGTAATTGAATTGGGCTGTAACATGTAGCTTGCCCCCAGTGTGATTGTTCCTCTTTTGTTCAGCAAATGTGTATCAAGTATCTATTTGTTTCCATGCCCTGTGCCAGGCACTGCTGTTACCTGGAAACAGCACAGTCGTGGTTCTTGCCCTCATGGAGTTTGTAATCAAGTGAGGAGATGAGTTGGCTGCACAGAATAAGCTTCATTGTAGGCAATGAGGAAAGTGCTCGGTGCTCTGGGATGTCACAGAAAGCATATGGGACGAGTGAGCCAGACCTGAAGGATGAGGAGAAACCAGAAGGGAGGAATACATTCCCAGGAGAGGGAAGGGCAGTCTCACAGTCTCCAGGAACAGACCTTGGAAAGGTCAGTGATGATGGTAGCTCTTTGCACTTGCTATTCCCACAGTGAGGTAAACAGTTCCTGCAGAGAGCCCCACAGAACCTTCCCTGGCCTTCTTCAGAGCTTTGCTCAAAAATCACTTTCTTATGGGGCCTTCCTGCTTAAAATTGCAGGCTACTCCTTACTCCCCTCTCTGCTTTATTTTTCTCCAGGTCACAAGTCACTGGCAGACATAACTTATGTTCCACTTGCTTGTTATCTCTTCCCTCTCAGTGAAATGTATGTGCAGTTTTCATGGGGCTGGAGACTTGTCTGCTTCTTGCACTATCGGATCTGCTCTACTGGGCATAGAAAAGACACTCAATAAATATTTCTTGAATGACTGAATAAGGCAGGAGAGATAGTCCAGGGCCAGGCAAGAAGGGTCTTATAAGCTTTTTAAGTGGGTTGACCTTCAGGCTGAGGGCAAGGGCCTTTGATTGTTTTAATCGGAGTGGTATGGTCCGCTTGGCATCCTGGAAAGATCACCCAGGTTGTAGTATGGAATATGGGCTGGAAAGCTACTTCAGATCAAACTTTGTTGTGTTCTGAATCATACTTCATTTGCCTGTTGTAACACCATTCTCCTGTGGTGACAGGAGAGAGAGCATGGTCCAAGAGATTGGAGAGGCCCTAGGGCCTCCAGACTCCTGTATTAGCCCGTTCTTCCTTCCCTCTTGCTAGATTCATCCAAATCACTCCTCCTAACACATCAAATATATTTTAAGCTTGCAAATAAACTAGAATCTTGCTGCAACTTTATCTGCAAGGTAGATTTGATAACCACTGTGGAAGCCATATGGAGTCTGGGGCACATAGTGATTACCAGCTGTATAGCTTTGGGCAAGTTACATTAAGTAACTCTCAGAACCTGCAGTTCCTCATCTGTGAAATGGGAATACCAAGAACTGCCTCACAGTTGTGAGACTTCAATAAATGATTACAATCCTGAAACACAGGAAGGCCCTTTTTTCCACTTTCCTATTACACTGACCTCAGGTATGAATTAATAACCAGTCTTGGATTATCCTCTATATATACGGATCCCCTGTGTCTTCAATGATAAAAATAGGTGTTATGACTAGTGTTCCAACGATGAAAAATTACTTTCTATAAATATTTGGGGATTTAGACTAGCTCTTGTCGCACTGTATATCATTCCTATGAAAGTTGGGCTTTCTGCTTCTCTTCACAGGGAGCCCAGCAGTCCTTGGAGGCAGCAGCTCAGAAGACAGGAGAGCCTCAAAGTTGTATAAATAAAGGGCTGATATGTTCAAACAGAAAAGAATTTTACACGCGCAAGCTGCACATCGACATGACGCCGTTCCTGAAGGTGATCTCACACTGAGAAGACGAGGAGTTTTATAGACACATACACAGGCATCCCAGTTAATACATTTCTGCATGGTACAAAAACAGCTTCAGAAGTCTCTCAGAGTTCATGCTTTATCAGAAGGGACAGAAAATAGGCAGTTTGTAGCAGATGAAGGAAGAACAAATTAGGACGGTAATCACAGCTAGCCATCGGGGACAAATCAGTCAGGTGTCTGGTTTGAGTGGTGGGGGACAAAGAAAAGAGATGAGAAAGGATAACCTTGAACTACCTCATAAAACAAACAAATATAATTTATTTTATCTTGACAGTAGCTAAAATAATTGTTACTGTTTTATCACTGTAACTGAGTAGAACTGGTATTCTGACTGGAAGAGAAGACTTATTCTTGGTAACTATTTACAAGTCAACTGCATATCCTCTTTGGATGTCTGACCTTATTTTCTGTTCTCTGAGAATTCATTATTCTCTTAAGCTCACCTTCATGTCTAGTTAAAGGTACTGAGAGTTTCTATGGTGGTGATGTCATTTGTCCACCTTTGCAATACTCTGTCTTGCCCAGCATCTAACACAGTGCCTGGCACCTGGAAGGTGCTCCCTAGATGCTCCATAAATCGACTGCCTTCTTATCCAGCAGACTTAGGGTTCCCTTCTTAACCATTCTTTGCCCCCTTTAGAGCTAAATGAACCGGAAATAACTGATCAGGGAGTAAAAGAAACTCATCAGGAACCAAGCAAGGCTTGGCTTAAAAGGATCTCAGATCCTTTGTACTACCCTAGAGAACAGCATCCCAGGCCCTTGATAAGAAATGACTAGGAAAGTGGCACCTGGGAGGCTCAGTCGGTTAGGCGGCTGACTTCATCTCAGGTCATGATCTCGCAGTCCATGGGTTCGAGCCCCACGAAGGGCTCTGTGCTGACAGCTCAGAGCCTGAAGCCTGTTTCAGATTCTGTGTCTCCCTCTCTCCCTCTGCCCCTCCCCAGCTCGTGCTCTGTCTCTCTCTGTCTCAAAAGTAAGTAAACACTTTTAAAAAAGTGACTAGGAAAGACAGAAACAGAGGAGAGGAAACCGAATACATGCAGGTTCATGATGCCGGCGCTATTCAATGCTATAGACTGTCAGAGACTTCAGAGTTCATGAGTGTTACTCTTGTAACTTCAGTTAATCCAGAGTTCTCAGATTACATCTTCTCTGGGCTACTCCTATCCCATCCAGAGCTGACAATGTGAGGCTTTGGTGAAAAGTCATGTATTTGCCCCAAATCTATCTCACTCCATGGCCGGGCTCCGCTTTCCTCTATTTTCCTGTTAATTAGGCTCTTTCCCCATTTAATAAGATGGCTATTGACTTCTCTTTCTAGATCATTCTGGAACTGAGTCTTATTGGCCCAAGTTGGGTCACATGCCCATCCCCAAATGAATCACTGTGGCCAGAAAATTGGAATACACTAATTGACTCAGCCTGAGGCCACAAGGATGAAAAGTGAGAAAAGAAGGAATGTTTCAAAAAGGAAAATAAGGTCCTTATAACCAGAATAAGAGAGAATTATTCTGGGCAGGAAAAAAAAATTGCTACAAGTGTTCAAAATAATTACTTTGATTCATTACTTATTATATTAGCTTCTAGAGCCACCAAAGTACCACAGACTGGGTGGCTTAAACAATAGAATTTATTTTCTCACAGTTCTGGAAGCCAAAAGTCTGAGATCTAGGTGTTAGCAGGATTGGTTTCTTCTGAGGCCTTTCTCATTGGTTTGTAGATGGTCATCTTCTCCCTGTGTCCTCATATGGCCCTCCCTCTGTGTGTGTGTGTGTGTGTGTGTGTGTGTGTGTGTCCTAATCACCTCTTCTTCTGAGGAGACTAGTAATATTGCATTAGATCCCACCCCAATGATGAGCCCATCTCATTTTACGTTTTTAAAAAAAATTTTTTTTAATGTTTATTTTTAAGAGAGAGAGACAGAGTGTGAGCAGGGGACAAACAGAGAGAGAGGGAGACACAGAATCAGAAGCAGGCTCTAGGCTCTAAGCTATCAACATGGAGCCCAACATAGGGATCCAACCCACAAACCGTGAGATCATGACCTGAGCCAAAGTCAGATGCTTAACCTACTGAGCTCCCAGACGTCCCTGTTTTTAAAAACCGTATCTCCAAATGCAATCACATTCTGAGGTACTGATGGTGGACTTTAATATATGAATTTTAGAGGAACACAATAGAGCCCAAAACACACTAATGAAACTATTCTTTTTTTCCTTAGCATCAGTTTAGTTCTTCCCTTCGCCCTAAAGAATTCTTGATAGACACTTCCCAGGATGAGGTATCATCAGTATCATTACTATTCATTCCATCTATAGTGAGCGTCTACTTCTACTCTGTGTCTGACCCTTTCTAGGCATTTGGAATACATCAGCAAACAAAATAGATGGAGATCCTGCCCCAGGCAACATGTATAGTATGTTCAAAGGTGATAATTACTATGGAAATGAGATAAGTATATTTAGGGAACATCTAGGAACTGCAGAATTCATAGTATAGATTTACAATAATTGTTTTGCATATTTAACATCCATAGTGCTTTTGTGGTACACTTTTTGTTCAGTAATGTTGGTACCATGTTACAGAGGAAAAGGCATTGTCATCCCTAAGGTCCACTTTCTGGTCCACCCTTTTCAAGACTGACAGAAATTGTAACTCAGCCTGCTTCTACAGGGGACTTACAGTGCACACAGTAGGCTTTCTGACTCCCAAACTGTCCTTGCCCAAAAGATCACACCCTTTCTTGCAAATGTTCAGTGTTAAAACTCTCCTTAGGTAGACTTCCCCTTCTTGACATGGTAACTCCTAGATTCTTAGGGGTTGCCTTGTAGAAAAGGACAAATCTCAGGGCTTATATAGGAAAGGATGGTGAATTCAAACAGAGGAAGTTCTGTCCTCAGCATCTCAAGCTTTATAGAAACCAATTCATTCTGTACATGTCATTTGTGCATTCCCAGCCTATCCACAGGACATTTCATTCATTTTTCTGGTGCATGTAGGAAGCATTGCACATTTCAAGGGATAAGGGTAAGATATAAAAATATTGAGGCTGAAAAGGGGAATGGAAAGAGATGCAAACAATCATAGTTGCTAACATTATTGAGCACTTACTCTGTGCCAGACTCTGTTTTAAAGTTTTACATGCAAGAACTCATTTAATTCACAAAAGGAACCTAGGAAATAGGTAACATTATCCCATTTTACAGGTGAGAAAACTAAGGCATTGAGAGGTTAAATAACTTCCCAAATGTCATACAGTTGATAAATGACAGGAACAAGATAAAGGCAGCCCAGCTCCAGAGCTCATGTTTTCACCCATGTTTTCAACCATAAAGCCTCACAGCAGATGCCAAATGAGTGACCTTGTAATACTTCTGTGACTGTGCTTCCTTTTTAGTAAAATGGAAATCGTAATACTGGGACCTCCATACCTGCCTCTCAACAGTGAGGCAAGAATTACATGAAATAATAATTTTGAAAGAATTGTCTCACCTTCAAAAAATTCAGCTCATAGAAAGGAACATTCATTAACTCCTGCTTAGGACCAGGGCCCTCACATATTGGAAATTTATTTAATTTTCCCACTCCTTTCCTGGCGAGTGTGTAGATCCCTGCTGTACAGATGAGGAACTTGGGGACTGGTAAAATGAAACAGTGACCAGTGACACGGCTGCCAGCAGAGGGAACTGAGATTCAAAGCCACAAAATCCACAATACCTGATGTTGATGAGGTCTATCTATTACGTTCCTATGAAGAATTTTAATTGTACATCTTTGCTTTGGCTTCAGAACCTTAGGAGAGGAACAGAGATTTAATAATATATTTTAATCTTAATAACACAAGATATCTTATGATTTTCATAAATTGTTTTTCTTTATTAATGAAAATGTGTGAGGTCTTTTTTTCTTCTTTAAATGTTTATTAGTTTTTGAGAGAGAGAGAAAGACAGAGACAGGATGTGAGTGAGGGAGGAGTAGAGAGAGAGAGACACAGAATCTGAAGCAGGCTCCAGGCCCTGAGCTGTCAGCACAGAGCTTGACATGGGCCTAAAACCCATGAGATGTAACCCTAGCTGAATTAGGAACATTTAACTAACTGAGCCACCCAGGCGCCCCTGTGTGGGATCTTTTTAATGCACAAGAAACATTGTACTACCTTGAAGTAGAAACTCATAAATGAGATATTAATTTTCTTCCATTATTAAGGAGGTATTGAAATTAGTCACTTATATGTATATATTGTGGTATGTTACACAGACTTTCCAAATGTATTTTCCTAAATAAGCCTTTTAAGAACTCTGTATGTATTTATTATTACTCCATTTCAAAGATGGAGAGAGTGAGGTTCTATAATAGGTCATACAGCTGGCTCCTGGCCCACTGGAGCCCCACTTCTGACTCCTGTATCCCATGTTCCTCCATTCCCCTGGCAGCTCCTCATGAAAGCCTGCTGTGAGCCTAGAAGTACCATGCTCACATGGGGTACTGTGGATGAGGGTAGTAGGCAAGACCAAAGGAAGATTTTCCAAGGAGAGATGAGAACTATAGGTCACCTGGCCAAGCCCCTGTCAGTCAAAGCAACTGAGGCTCAGGGTTTAAGTAACTTGCATGATCTGAAAGGCATGATGTGTAGGAGTCAGGGCTCCCAGGGCAGGCAGTCTGACTCCTGTACCCCAGCCACTCAGGCAGCTGTGTCTCATGTCTGGTTTTGGTGCTGCAGTTCGTGTTTACAAAGTGTTTGTTACTATCCCCACCCACCCACAGCCCTATAATATCCTACTGCTGCCAGTGCTCTTTCTAAATACAGCTCAGTCATATCACTGGTTTGTTTGAAATCTCTTACCATGTCCGCATTGGCCTTCCGATTAAACCCTGGCATCAAAGATGTATTTCTTTTATAAATAGAAAAAATATAAAACCTCAATTTATTTTTAACTCCATGCTGCAACCTGCAAGATCTGGCCCCTATCTAATTCACACTGTCCATGCACTGCAGTCCCCAAAGCTGCCCCCCACCCAGCACATGGTGCTTCCTCTGCCAGGAACTGCCCTACCTCCCCTTCTCTGCAAGACTTAGCACCACGTCCCCTGGTAAACAAACCTTCCCCAGACTAATTTAGCTTCACCTTCCGTGAGGTCCTGCAGAAAACTGTCATAATCTGTCACAACATTTATCACACAGCATTGCAATGCTGAGGTTTTATGTCATTTCTCCACAAGCCAGCAAGCTGCTTGCAAATAGATCTTTCATCCTGGTGTCCCCAATGCCTAGCACATGACCTGGCACACAACAGACACTGAATAAATGTTCATGGGCTGAAGCAACAGATGAAGAGCAAATGACTTGGTTAGAATAACTGAGCTAGGATTGAATTTTCAGTCCTTCAGCTTGTTTGGCTCATTCGCCAAGTGATATTACCTATGTTTCAGTCATTCAGTTTAGTCATTGCATTTGTAATTCATATTAAAAATGACAGATTGTGGGGTGCCTGGATGGCTCAGTCCATTAAGACCCCAACTCTTCGAGCTGAAGTCATGATCTCACGGCTCCTGAGATGGAGCCCCACGTCGGGCTTTAGTTTGTCAGTGTGGAAGTCTCCACACTTGGGATTCTCTCTTTCCCTCTCTCTCTGCCACTCCCCCCACCCCATGCTCTCTCTTTCTCAAAGTAAATAAACTTTTAAAAAATAATGACAGGGGTACCTGGGTGCCTCAGTCAATGTTCAGCTTCAGCTCAGGTCATGATCTCATGGTTCATGAGTTCAAGGCCCACATTGGGCTGGCCCTTGTCATCACAGAACCCACTTCAGATCCTCTGTCCTCATCTCTCTCTGCCCCTCTCCCACTCACACACTCTCTCTCAAAAATGAATAAACATTTAGGGAAAAAATGACAGATTGCATTTTGTTTAGTTCTAGGTGTTGTGTGTGCATTTTTTTAAGTGGGCTTCACACCCAACATGGGGGCTGAAACTCACGACCTGGGATCAAGTCCTGAGTTGGGATCAAGTCGGGTGCTTAACCAACGGAGCTTCCCAGGCATTCCTATAAAGAGATGATTTTTAACAGTTGGGTAGTATTCCATTGTGTGAATTACCATAATTTATTTGACTAGTCCTCAGTTGGTAGGATTTTTAGGTGGTTTCAAATCTGTTTCAGTGAATAACCTTAGGTGTAAGTCATTTCTCATGCATGTTCAAATATCTAAAACACGATAGGGTTGGGGTTTTTTATAGTTTTCTAGCAACAGACTTTCAAATTAAGACTACTTCTTTATCTAACAGGGATATACCAGAAGGTTCTTTCAAAGTCTCTGACTCTCTCTGCCTACATCTCCCCATCTGTGAAATGAGAATATTTTTTGCCCCTGAAGGCTCATAGCTACATGTTAAGACTAAAGGTTTATCCTTCTTGCCTTTGAAATTCTTCCAAAGGAGCAAGCTTGTTTCTCCCTTTTAATCCAGTTTCCTGTTAAATTAATAGGACATGTAAACAGGAATTTGTCTTTCAGTTTATCTCTTTTCTACTCTTATAACTTAGCAGTTTATGACTGAGGTGGATTTTCCTGCTGTACTTTTTCAAAAATCTTTCCATTTGTTTAGGGATGAATTTTTTTTTTTTTTTTTTTTTACTGCACCAAGGCCAAATCCTCTTTGTCTTCAAAATGAGAAATGCAAAAGAAAGAAAATTACTGTGCTCGTTTCAGCAGCACATATACTAAAATTGGAGCAATCCAGAGAAGATTAGTGTGGTCCCTGCATGAGAATGATATGCAAATTCCTGAGTGTTCCATATTTTCTTGTATACCTGAAACTAATATAACACTGTATGTTGACTAACTGGAATTAAAATAAAAACTTAAAGGAGAGCCTGGCTGGCTCAGCTGGAAGATCATGATACTCTTGATCTCAGAGTCATGAATTTGAGCCCCATGTTGAGTATAGAGATTACTAAAAAAAAAACTTAAAAAAATATTTTAGAAACTTATCATAATAAAAGCAAAAAAGGAAGGAAGGAATGAAGGAAGGAAGGATGGAAGGAAGAGAAAGGAAGAAAATTACTTACCCACTCTAGCTCTTTTATGACAGAATATCTCATCGGCTCCAACAGTAAGCTAACAAGTGAAAAACACGCAGGGTAAAAAACTATAGAGTGAGAAGAGAATGACAAACAAATAAGAGTAATTGTCTCTTCCCAGAGCAGTTTAGGTGTTTGATAATTAAGTGGAAAAACTGCTACTAAAGGTAGAGGAACTTCAGTCCTAGGAGAGACTTCCAGGGCTCTCCATATCCAATTCTTTCTTTGTAGCTGAAGTGAAGCTGTGGATTCAGCAGAGATCCATATGACAAAGACCGAGAGCTGGCTTCATCAGATACATGTGGCTTTACTTAAGTCTTTGACTCTACGTGTCACATCATTTTGGCTACCAATGAGCTGCTCTTCTAATAATGCTCCAGAGGAGATCAGTGACTCTCAATCCTGCTACATGTTGGAATCACCCAAGAAACCTTAAAAATGCTCTAGTTCCAGGGGCACCTGGGTGGCTCAGTTGGTTGAGCATCCAACTTCGGCTCAGTTCATCGTCTCACGGTTCATGGGGTCAAGCCCTGCCTTGAACTCTGTGCTAACAGCTCAGAGCCTGGAGCCTGCTTCAGATTCTGTGTGTCTCTCTTTCTCTCTGCCCATCCCCTGCTCATGTTCTGTCTCTCTCTGTCTCTCAAAAATACATAAAATGTTTTAAAAATTTTTTGTAAATGCCCTAGTTCCAGAAAGTCTAATTTTATTTTTGGGGGGTAAATACTGGGTATCATACCTTTTAAATAGTTCTAATTCATAGCCAGGGTTGAGAACCACTGTTATGAAAATTTCTACATGGTGGATTGCAAGCAATTTGTATGACTGGGAGAAAGAAGGAAGAGGGGATTGATGTGATAAGAAACCTAATCCGTGGCAACCTTGGAAACTCCACAAAAGGCCAGTCTGACCCTTTTGCTTCCATTAAACCCTTTCCATTTGTTCTCAGGATAAAACCAAAGCCCTTAATCTGCCTTCAAGGCCTTGGGAGCCTGATTCATCCCACCCTTCCCATTCTTTCAGCCTCTGCTCTCATCATACCAGTCATCCATCACGTCCCTGGGGGTACCTTGCTTCCTTCTCCAGTTGGTCTTTGCCTGTGGCATTCTTCTCCCCACCCCCCGGTTAACACCAGGCATGGAACACCATACACATGAATGGGACAAGCCTCCCACAGGAGAAATACAACTAAGACCCCTGCAATGCTCAGCACTGAAGCTAAGCCCACCTTTGGACACTGAAGTTAAAATAAGTTGACAAAGAAGGAGAAGAACTGTATTTTCAAAGGGCATGGACCATAGAAGTGTTTGTCTTTATTTTGTCTTCTGTACTTTCTTTTATTGTGTATTCACCTAACAGGAAAATGGAGATGAACTGGACAATCATGAAGAACCAGGAGGACCCCTCAGAGAAAATCATCAAGACACCCAAGGTAGAGACAGCCAGGTTGGGTTTTAAATCTTATCACAATAACCCTCTGATGAGGTTTGCATTGGTTCAAAGAAGTTAGTGGGGAATGACCCTTCCATTTCCTTTCAGGGCTGGAAGTCAGAAAACAGACCAATGTGCTGAGTTCAGACTCTAATTATTCTTAGTGCATCACAAACCAACTGATGACAATAACATGCTTTTATATTTTTGGGCTTACTAAAAGGTTTCTTTCCTGCCAGAGACCACAGATTAATGGAAGAGAGTAGAGACTCTGGGGTATCACAACAAGGTCTCATAGGCACTTCTACTTTCCTGTTCCTCCTGCTTTCAAAGGGGCATGGATATGCAGGTGCAGGAGCTGAGGTTCCCTGCCTACAGAGTTAAAATTCCAGGGACACCTGGATGACTCAGTTGGTTAAGTGTCCAACTTCGGCTCAGGTCATGATCTCGCAGTTCATGAGTTCAAGCCCCACGTAGGGCTCTGTGCTGACATCTCAGAGTCTGGAGCCTACTTCAAAATCTGTGTCTCCCTGTCCCTGTCCCTCCACCGTTCATACTCTATCTCTCAAAAATGAATAAAAGTTAAAAAAAATTGTTTTTAAATAAAATTCCAATGATGGGGTAGGGAGTGGGGACAGTGTCTTTAGAGACCCAGACCCTCCTGCCTACCACCCTGGGTAGCCAGAGCTGTTTGCGTGTGGCTTCCTCCATAAATGATGCTGCATTTAATAATGATGGCTCTAGGAAATATTGGGCTCAGAACTGGGCTTTTTGGCATATATTCCCAGAACCTGAGCTAGACTCTAATCTCTTCCCTGGGGGTATCTGTACATGCTGTGTGATACTGCAGTTGGGTAGGCCCAGGTACAGAACGTTCTTTATCCTCACTGCATCCATCTTACAGGAGTGGAAATGGATAGGTGAGAGACACCTGTGTTCTCAAGGAGTGGATGCAGTGCCAGCCAGAAGGATAACTTGTTTGTTGTTTGCTGTACAAAGACATCCAGCAGAGGAAGCAAATAGGAGCCTGTGCTCTGCCCCCTAAGCTATGCACCTCAGGACTGGGGTATTCACGCAGAGGGGGCTCCTTTCCTACCTGGCCTTTCTACTGGGGTGCCTTTCTTGAATTCACACAAGGGGCTCTATATAAGCTAGCAACAGCAGCTCTGAGCAGCTGAGTGGAGAATGCGGGCTCTGCAGTTAGCTTACTTCTTCCTTAACCTCTCTGTACCTCAGTGTCCTCAGCTGAGGCTGAAAATAGTATTCCCCTCATAAGGTTGCATGAGAAATAAATGAAGTAACTCATATAAGTAACCCTTTAACAAATACTGTCTTATTTTTTTTAAGTTTATTTATTTATTTATTTTGAGAGAGAGAGAGGCAGAAAGGGGCAGAGAGGGGGGAGAGAGAGAGAGAGAGAGAGAGAGAGTGAGAGGCACTCCCAAGCAGGCTCTACACTATCAGCACAGAGCTCAATGTGGGGCTTGAACTCACGAATCTGAGATCATGACCTAAGCTGAAATCAAGAGTCAACCACTTAACCAACTGAGCCACCCAGGCACCCCAATACTCTATTATTCTTGACTTGGATGATTGTCATAATGATTAAATGTCTACCCTCTTGCAGTCACAGTTTACCAACCTGTGAAATGACACCATGACTCTTTCTATCTCCTCTAGACCCCAAGAGGTGAGGGAGACCATGAGAGCTCACTAGAGATAAAAGTGCAAAGTCATGGATTTGGAATTTCATCCTAAATTTGATATTTTTCTGTTTACATCTCTTACTGTTTCTTTTATTTGATATTCTAAACAAAAATACTTTTTATACTCATTTTAAAAGATTTCACTGCCAGGTGCCTAGGTGGCTCAGGTCATAACTTCAGCTCAGGTTTATGAGTTTGAACCGCACTTTGGGTGAGCAAGAGCCCTGCTTCAGGTGAGCCCCCCCTCACTCTCCCTCCCCCTCTCTCTCTTGCTGCTCCCTCACTCACTTGCGCCCTCTCTCTGTCAAAAATAAAATAAAATAAAATAAAATAAAAGATTTCACTGCTTCTACATAACAGACAATAAAATATTATGGTAGCTCAATTTCTAGGTTTGGTCAAGCTTTTAAGCAGAGTTCTTGCTAAAATAAGTCTCCTGCACCCTCCATTTTCAAAACTGAGTGACAGTAACCAGGGAAACATGCTCCAGTCTTCAGACCTTCCATATCATAAGTCACATATGCAGAATGTGAACGCTGATGAGACTCAAAGTGCAATGGAGGTTTTAAGCAGTGCAGAACATGGCCAAATCTAAGCAATGACCAAGCCAGTCAAAACAGATTTCCTTTCTCATGACAGAGGAACAGGCTTCGTCTGACTTCCATAAAGGTTATCCAGACAGTCTTTAATGCAGTGATATATCACTGCAGAAAATTAAAGAAGGCATTTGCCTGTCCTGAATGATAAATGCTAATGTTTAAAAAGGATCTCAAATCTTTATAGGAAGAAAAGCAAGCATGCCAAGGAATTTTTTTTAACTATTTAAGTATAGATTTTTCCCTTCTAGGCCTTATATCTAATTGCCAAGATTTTATTTTCTACTACTCTAAATTAAGTAGTGATCTTCATTTTTAAATTATGAGCAAAGAGCCAGTGCCATATCTACCAAGAACACCTTGCTTCTTAGACTTGGTGAAATTACCACAAACTTGCATGCAGTACAATCAGACAAATCACTGGCAACCTCCAAATCAAATCGGGTTTGGAAAATGGCTCATGTTAAATGCAAAACTTTCCTTTCCACCTCTTTTCCCCAACCCCTCAGCCCAAAGAAACAATAGAATTTCAGTTCTTGTTGATTTCCTAGGCCAGTTGTTCTCAAACTTCAGTGTGCATCAGAACCCCCTGAAAGTCTGGTTAAAATAAATTTGGGGTCCCACCCCTAGAGTTTCTAACTAAATCTGGGCTGAAGTCATAGAATTTGCAATTTTTATAAGTTCTCTGGTGGTGCTAATGCTGGTGGCACTGTAAGAATCACTGCCCTGGGCCTTGCTTCTAGAATTTATTCCTCTAAATTTAGCAGTGACTCAATTTAATCTGTTCTTTTGAAAATAAAGGGTACTGTTTAGGCAGCATCACGGTGATCAAGAGCACTGATAACAAATCTGATTTCCCAGGTTCAAGTCCCATTACTCCACTTACTAACTGCATGCCCTTGAATATCTACTGAACTTCTCTGGGCATCTTTTTCTTCATGTGTAAAATGGAGGTACCAGTACTACTTATCTCATGAGGTGGCTGTGACATAAACGAGTTAATACATGTAATGTGCTTATGAGAGTGCCTGACACAGAGGAAGTGCTCACTGAGGGTTAGCTATCTATCAGTCTGTTTCTTTAAAACCTTAATTTAGTAGCCATAAGTGGAACCTTGTCAGAAGAGATTTGGTCTAAGTTGATAACATGATAATTACTTTCTAGGTCAATCTCATTGATGGGGGGCTTGATCTTGGGGGTACTGGTTGAGTCCTTTGTGTAAATCTTTCTTTAAGTCTACATGTGGGCAGCAGACCCAATCTGAACAAAGCAGCCTTGCCAGCCTCTGCCTTCTGTGAAAAGCTATGTAGCAATAATGATGTAACCACTTAGAATGTGGCAGAATTTGAGATATTCTTAGGGGGAGTAAGAGATTTGAGGAGCCCTGCATGAGATACAGGGGATCCCTAATGAGTAGCCTGAAACAATGAAACAATGGGTGGACAAAGACAGAAGGCAGGTCTTACAGAAACCCTTAGAAACCAGTGAGCCATTTCTATTCTACTAGGGAAAAATAGGCCCAGAGCATTATTGCTTTATTGAAGAGATGGATATGTAGTACTTAGGATACTGATACAACTGTTCTAATAAAGACCAAGATAAAGCGATTTCAAATAAGATGGAAGGTTTATTTCTCTCTTGGAAAGTCCAAGCTGGCAGACAAGAGATAGGACAGCCCTGCGCCAGACATATCTCTGCCATCCCCTTTGTTATTACCCTTCTCTACATCTTAAAGCTGGCTCAACATCTCCTCACCCTGAAGACAGGAGAGAAAACATCAATGTTGGGCCCACAGTTGCCTTGTAGGAGCAAAATCCACTGGCCCCAATTGGCTGTAGGGAGGTTTGAAGGCCTTTCCTCAGGGGCAGTTCCTGGCTCCAGGAATAAACAGCTCCAGAAGGAACAGATACACTGACTGCCCAACTTGTGCAAAGAAGTAAGGAGTAGCCAGTGTTGTGAAAAATTTCCCTTAAAGCTATGGAAAAAATAGATCAGAAGTATGTGCCCAGGAGTTGAGACAGTGCCCCTGCCCCAGAATCTACAACCTGGAAAGTGGTATCACTCCACAGGGCTACCACCTGAGGTCAGTCAGGGCTCTTGCTCCCTGCTTTGCTCCATATGAAGCCTGCACAGTCAGTGTAGACTGCCAGGCTCTGCGATCCCAGTACTGGATTCAGAATTATCTACTCATTCTTAGCAGCCTAGATGACCTCCACGCGCTGTGACTGCTTTATCTTTCATTCTGAAAAGTATTTCAAAGTCCTCCTCCATGGTGAGAAGTTGTACATCCTTAAGAATGTTTCTGACTCACTCTACTTAACCCAAAATGGAAACCCCAGGGAAGTCCCCAGTATCCCAGAACACAGCTGTTGCCCCTTGATCCTAAAAATTCTCTTCACCTTCCAGGAAGCAAAGTTTATTTCTAATTTGAAACCCAAATTCATCAAGACCAAAAAGCAGTTAAACCTAGAGACAAAGACAACATAAGAAAGGAAATTTATAGACCAATCTCACTTATGATCCAAGATAAGACTCCTAAATAAAACATTAGCCAATCAAATCCTTAAGCTTATATTTAAATATGTAATATTTTATACAAATATACAAATATACATATATATATAGTGTGTATATGAATATACTATATACCATATACCACGACTGAATGTGGTTTATCCCAGGAATTCAAAGATGGTCTA